GCTACCTTTACATGTGAAAGAATACTCTGTTGGCGCCTTGTCAGAAACGTTGATAACTAGTAGAGAAAACAGTTTTTATAACTACGCAACATTGACAACTACGCCTTGTCAGAAACGTCTCATCAGAGGCCCTGGTATAGTGCTTTCGATCTGCTCTATAGATCTTTTTTAAATTTAATGCTCACAATGCACCGACTTTCTGCATTCACCACATTCGACCGCTTAATTTGGTCAATCCAGACCATCTGAATAAGTTTTAATCTGACGGTTCACTTGCAACGTCGACATTTGCGCTCCTTTCTCCATCACTAAAACCCTGACTTATCCACTTCTTACACATTTACCTTTTTCACATTTGTAGCTTTTTTTTCAAAAAATATTTTGGCGATCCTTAGCAATTTCCTACTCTACCTCCGATTATCCTTCGATGGCGACTTTTATGGGTATGTTCTATCAAACCATTTCTTGTGTTGTTATTCTCTATTTCTCTCGTCCGTTTTTATCCTCTTAGGGTTTATAAGTCTAGTGCTCGTTGCCTTTTCGTATTACGCGATTATTTTACATCTTCCAATAACCATGTCAAATTATCACAAAGCTTCACCTTCAACCTCCTCTTCAGAGTCCATAGATGAACCTTCTACGTACCTCTCTTTAGACCTAGTTCTTCTTCTTCCTTACTTCCAACGAGTCCAGGTAACCATGTCAAAGTTAAAAAAGTCGAGGTCTCTTGCCTTTAGGGATGGTGGTCAAACCAAACCCCATCACATCCTAATCAAATGACTACATTTCCAGTCTGCTTCAGAAAATCGAGCTCTGCCGTGAATAGGATTTTAAGATTCCCAAGGTTAGATAGCTTTTGACCAGCCTCCTTCGGGCTACTACTCTCTTTTCCTTGACCAGGCTGAATTCGGGCTGATATTTCCCCTTAAGGACGATATAATAGAGTTCAGCCGCCTATACCCCTTAAACCATTTTACGCAAAATTACATTCGTTTCTTGGTTAGGTTCACCATCTTGAGCTGATGTTGGCTTGGTAAGTTGGACATTAAATATTGTTTTTACTGTTTTTGGATGAAACCTCAGAAAGGCTCTTACTACCTTTTTGGTCACGATGATGCTAACTTTTTCAAACACTACCCTTCTAATGTTAAGGCCTGGAAGACGAAATATTAATTTTTCCAACCTTCTCTTGCTACCTTCGATTTCTCTCCTAAGTGGCTCCCCGAGCTCCTCGTCTGGGAAAAAATACGAAAGTCGTCTACTCACTACAAGCAACTGATTAACTAGTGGAACAAAAAACCTTTTCACATTGTAAATCTCACTAACAACCTCTAATTTCTCTCTCACTTCGGGTTGTTCGCTTGTTCTGCCCAATCGATCACCGACATAGGCAGACAATTTACTTGTGTTCTCTATCATCGACCTGACAAGATCATAACTGTACTAAATCATTTTCTCTGTATTTTTTTATTTTTACATAATCTTTGTTCAGCTTGGTGGTTGTCGAACCTACTCCGGAGACGAAGGAGGTAAAGTCGACTGTGGACAAACTAACCTCTCCCCTGGTCATAGAGCATGATACCACCAGTTAGGAGAATGCTACTCCTAAGTGACCTCCGAAGTTCGACCACACTGGGTCAAAACGAAATCGCTCTGACCACAAAGGAAGCCAAACTCTCAAAAAGTATAAGAAGATAGAGAAAGGGAAGGAGAAGCAGATCGAGAAGGCTTGCTTCACTGGCCTCTCTCTCGAGCTGCCAGCGTCTTTTGCTAAGTAGAAAGATGTGGGTACCCATCCGCTTACCTCCTTTCCATTTTTTCAGATGGGGAAACTTATAAGTAGAAAGGGAATGAGAGTCGAGCTGGCATCGCGGTTTTCCACCTCGTCCAGGTATCTTATTGTCCCTCTCTGTCCTATCTTCAGTGTACTACCATTTTCAAATAACTTTCTATGACCTTTGATGTTGTAGGCGTTGTCTAGCATTGCCTCTATCCTCTATGAGGCGCTGGAGGGGGACTCTGACGAGCTCGCTAAGCTTTAGAAGGAAGTCTAAAACAGCCTATCTGCTCGCGCAAGTCTCTATGAACTATGTGACCTTCGTAAAAATGAGGTCGACACGATGATCACCCAACTGGAGACCAAAGATGACAAGCTATGCAAGAAAGCAGTCGAGCTTACTGATCTGGGGGCCCAACTGGGCAAACTAAAGGTGTCGGTAGACGAGCGCGTGAAGAGACATCGTGAGGAGGTCCTGACTTTTTTTCTCTTTTTCGTTCATGGAGGTCGGTTCCTTTAGCAGTACTCGCTCAAGCTGATGGTGGACCTGATGGATTGCACATGACGGAATAAGGAGTTACTTGAGGATATTTTTATTGAAAAGGAAAAGGAAGCAGTATTGAACATCAAAGGCCTCAACCCCTTATCCAAGGACAGAATCATATGGGACTGGAGCTCAAAGAAGAATTGACAGTGTCTTCAACTTAGGACAAATTTATCCGAGAAAAGTGGGGGCAGATGGATCAAATAGAGAGCAGTAATGAGCACTTGATTGCAAGGAAAGTAAGAAGGAGGAGCTAGGCTTTGAAGATAAAGGGTAAACCGGAGCAATTTATCTGGAAATTCTACTCAAATATAATTCCAGTTAATGGTAATCTCATTAAATAAGATGTCCAAATTGACCATATATGTAAAGCTTGTGGAGAGGCACCTGAATTTTTAGGGCATTTGTTCTTTTACTGAGCTAGGGCAAAGTTGGTGTGGGCTACTTCACCTATTTCTTGGGATGGCTTGGAGCATGAAACTGGAAAACTTCAAAGGATGATGGAACAAACTTTGCTCAACGAAACAATTATCTAACTCTGATTCTAGAATCCAACTGACTTCTAATCTTCTTTGGCGGATCTGGAAATCTAGAAATCAATGGTTTTTCAAAATATCTTAAGGCCAGTGAAGGATGTAGTGGATATTTCTATAAGAGATTGGTTGGAGTTTTGAGACTACAGTGTTAGGTAGATTTTGAGAACAACTAGGTTCCTCTAGTGTCTAGTGGTCGTTCTGTTTAGCTTACTTGCTTTGTTTGTTAGTTGTAGTTCATGTGGAGTGGTTGTTTTGTGTTT